AGAGAGGGGGGGGGTCAGAGAGGGGAAAGATAGTAAGAGATGATGTGAGAGAATTAAAAAGTGTGTGAGCGAGAGAGAAGAGAGAAGAGATACAAGAGAGAAGAGAAAGGGAGAGGGAGGAAGTGGAACGGAGCAAGAGAGAGATATTTTCAGATATCGTTGTTTTTCTTCTTTCAACTGGCCTCACCCACAACTGCAGGATCACCACTCACTACTAAAGAGGGCAGGGGAGTACAAGACAGTGTAGTGGCGCACGAAAATGCTCGTGAGGGTGCGAAATAATAGTTCTGAGAGGCAACCCCATCGGCGTGCCTGTGGCGAATCATGTTGAGAAAGAGGATGATTCGTATAGATCGGAGAGAGCGCAACAAACAGTGAATTTAGTTTTTGTAAGCGATTTATGGCACTTGCAACACAACAAGGCCGTATAAGTGCCGAGGATTAGAGGTGTTACGAGAGAGTAACTAACACAAAATAGAAGGAGGGGAGATGAGGACGATAAATGTTTGATAGGAAAGAAGTAGCAAACCACACTAGAGCACGCGCCAACAACCCACTGAAACAGAGAGTAAAAGACAAAGAAACCAAGAGATAGAGGGACTCACACTGAAGGAGAGACAAAAAGAGGAGTAGGGTAGCCTTTTTTTCTCATAATAAATCCTGTTTTATGATGATCATTATAGTTATAGATCTAGCTCGAAGAGATAAGTATTGGGCCCACGTCTTATACGATACTTGCGAGGTTTGCTGCTTCCTTTATGCTAAATAGACCCCAATGGTATGAACATCTAATTGCTGCCAGTCCTGAACAAAAAAAAGCTACTAAACAACAACAACAGCAACAACAACAACACCACCACCAACAACAACAATTAATAATAACAACAACAGCAACACAAAAATAACATTACAACAACAACAACAACAACGACAAAAACCCCAACAACAACAAGAACAGCTGCAGCGACAATAACAACACTATGTTAACAACATTAACAACAGCAACAACAACAACAACAACAACAACAACAACATCAACAACAACAACATCAACGGCGGCAGCAGAAGCAGAATCAGTAGCGGCTAGCAACAGGAGAAAGCTGCAACAGCAACAAAAAAAGAAGAATAGCAATAGTATCATCTCCACCATCAACATTGACAACATTTATGGTAACTCAGGGAAAATAGGAGCAACAACATTAACAATAACAACAAAAACAACAACAACAATAACAACAACGAAAACAACAACAACAATAACAACAACGACAACAGCAACAGCAGCAGCAACATAACAACAATAAGAACAAGAACAAAAACACAACAAAAACAATAACAACAAACACTACCACCATCACCATAACACGCTGAATACTTTGTGAGCACACAATTTAGACCTGCACGTATTTGTATTTTATTTGGATCTAGTAGACCTATTACTGTTGCTAGATAAAAGGCTTAGATCTAGTACGGCACAGAAATGTAGGGGAGCAATTAACTTGTGTCAGGACATCGTGCGTATAAAATTTTCCAAATTACAGCTAGATCTACCAATGCAAAGTCTGCATCAGTGCAACCCATTTTGCATTCCTGTGTAGACAGAGCATTTCTGTTTGTCGGATTAGCCAGTCCCCGATTTTTTCAACGCTGGATCTAAATAGCTACACAACTTTCCGATAGCTTCGAGTAAAGCCTTTGTAAAGCAGTTCTAATACTGTATGCCGCACCTACCTCGTAGTATGTCAATATGGATCTGGGGAATCGGGATTTTGGCAACTTACAAGACGTATCTTATACGTTATTGATGTGGAATATCATGCAGTTCCATGGCACACCAGTTACTGCAATAGGGCATTTAGATCACCAACAAAACACTTTTTCTGGACGACAAACCAAATGGAAGATTGCTTTTTAAAGTAACTGGGAATGAAAGGAAAGAATTGAGAAGGCTCTGAAGAGTGGCGTCAAATGTTGGTTATGTTCGCGCATCAACGGCTATCGTCCCCTCTCAGAGCCCCTCGGTTTTGGTAGCCTAATGATATGAGACTGGTGGTGAAAAATGCATTGTAAAAGTAAAAGTATTATCTGTGAAGAGACAGTGTTGTCTTGACAAGTTCTTCCATCTACCCATTGAAACATAAGAATCCTAGTACTAATATCAAAACATAAACACATTATTATTATGTCAAATGGAAATACCCACCCTGTTGTACAATCTCCAGCTACCACAACAGCAATAAAGCAGCAGGAATAATAGTAGTAATAATAACGGTAATAATAATAATAATCATCATCATCATCATCATCATCATCATCATCATCATCATCATCATCATCATCATCATCATCATCATTATTTATGATAATGACAACATTAACAAATACATGCTGGTTGCTATGAATTGAACCCTTGCGGAACGTTACAGGGATAGAGGTAGTTCTTGGTAATTTAGATCAAAACGTTAAAAGGCTAGACTATGACTATATATAATTAATTTGCTGCATCAAAGAACACCGCCAATCATAATACAGCATTGCGATACATTAATTTCCTTTCACTTATATCGATATTGGCAGTTTGACCTTATTTTATTTGCCGAGCCATTGGATATGGTGGGGTCTAGGTATTAACAGCTCTTGTTTGTCAGTTTGCATTTGGAACCTAGGAAAGATGAATGTCATACGTCGCATATCAGCATTTCCGTTTACCTGTTCAATAGTTGTTTTTATTGTGGGAGTTTAACTTTTGGGTATCTCGCGGGGCTATGGTGGGAAAGAGTGTGCTCTAGATATTAATGTGTTGAGTAGACATACAATTAAGGCCCATCACGAAGACGGAGCTTCGTCTCCCTTGCTCGCAACATTTGTATCCCATAGAATAAGAAAAAGTGGTGATTTATTGTGTTGTACGAAAAAGACCAATTCAACTTCGCAGAAGCCTTCCTTTTCTACCCGGGTTATTTCATTTGACGACATGTGAACCCCCCCTCCCCCCAACAAACTCCATTAGATATTGCATAAACCCCTACAGTGTATCCCCATACATATTACATTGCTGGGTTGTGGAGATTACAATTGGGGCGATAAAATAACTTTAAAGTGACCTAGATTGGTAGTAACGTAAAAGGAAAGTCTTGCTTCATGGGTTTTATCTTTAGTTTACGAGCTCATGCCGCACACTCAAGCCTGGTATAAGGGCAATTACTGCGGTTTCGTTTCACATGACTTCTTTCTGCTTGATCGAGCAGACTTGAATCTGTTAAAGAATTAGATCCAAATTCTGGCTCATTCCTATTCTAACCAGAGAGGATTTACAGTATTACTTTAAAATTCTCTGGTTCTGACGTGTCAGCGACCTCTCCAAATCCGACTCTTCTGAAGTAGCTTATTTTCACACCCCAATTTCGTATGTCCCAATAGTGAATGCATTCGGTGAGTACTGAGTCATACTTTTAAACCATAATAGAAGGGATCCGCACGAAAAGTTTGAGTGTTAAGTTGGTTATTGATCAAAACGTTAGAGAGAAACCAATAATAGATATTTTAGCTGGGTCTAGCCTTTAAGCAAAACAAAATAGCAAGCAGAAGTAGAAGCAAACTTCACATGCCATTGTAAGAATCCCAGGAGATGAGAAGCAAAAAAAATGTAATAAACGGCAGCCTGTCTAGAGTGATCGCACTTCGAAGGCCTCGCTGGCTGTTGATAGCCACATAGAAGTGTACACGAATTGTAATAGGTTAAAAAACAGCTTGTATAGATTGTCTGTGTGCTTTCACAGAAATGTTGGGGAGGGGGTGGCGTTGCAGTCTCAAAATGAACGATTTATAGGCTATGTCACTGTAAATCATTTATTTCAGAGACCCCGTATATGCATACAAAAGGTGTTGTTAAATATAAGGCCTAAATAAAGGAATTTTTCAAATTACTCGATTAAGATTTTTTAAAATTATATATTTTTTGTTTTGGTCACTTACCTACTGTAGGGCTTTGCAAAGTTACGTGCATATTGACAAAGCAAACAAGCTAGAACTTTTAATGCGAGTACACGAAGCGAACACGCTAAAATAGGACAAGGGTGTAATAATAAAAAAGAAAGAAATAATTCCCCACCCCACCCCACCGCCCTCTCTAGACCAATCAGCATAGCAATATCAGCAATGAGGATGGAGTATGCTATTAATTACAATTTTTAAAAAATCAGCAACAACAACAACAAAAACAGCAACGTCGAAACAAAATTGCATAGTCTTACTTCAATTCGATTACACACAGATTGCAATGAAAGTAATATTTTATTCTCCCTGAGTTTTCCTGCTTTGGTTCCGCATATAAAACGCCCACATTTTTCAAAACATGGTAATGACGCTCCTGTTTCCAACAGACCTTCCCTCCTGTATAATAAACTGCTCTTCTGTAGTTTTCATCAGTACAATTTGTGGACCTGTTACCCTCATCCCCGTTTGTGTCTGGTCAACAAACGAAATGGAAAACGTGAGTATTTGGTACGAAGGAAGCAAGCTTTATGTAGCCTCAGAAATCTCTGCAAGCTTTGTTTTAACAAACAAAATCATTTTCGAAAAATTTCTTAAACTGAATAGATGTTTAATAATATCTTTAAAAATATTTTACCAACGAAATAAAATATCAGTTTGAGTTAGGCCAACTGCACCAGGAACATTGTTAGCTACTTAGGATTTGGTATGATTTTATCGTATCGCCTTCATTTACTACAAACTAAACCGACATGCTCTGACTCTGACAAAGGGCAAGGCTCTGCCCAGGAATCGGTTTAAATGATTTGTTTTTAAAATCTCTGATGGGACAAGTTGTCTCAGCCACAGGCTTCAACACTTTACCCGGAACTCTGTCTTCACAAAGAACACATCTTTGTCTTATAGGACGAGAAATGTGGACAACAACTTTCGAAATCATTCCAGCATCCCTAAGAAAGTACCCTTGCACAAATTATAATCAAACAATTGGATCTTGATCTTGTTTAATTTCTATGCATAATTCGACTCAAAATACTACATCATTTCAAAGAGGAAGCTTTGTAACGCCTGATGAGACACTGGGACGAGAAAATCAGGAGCAGAGAGAAAATAAAGGAATAAATTGGATTCGCACCCGATCTGCCCCCAGTTGGTCACTTGTGCAGTTATATGCGTTCCCAAAGAGACTGACACGTTTAGCTGTTTTCCTTCGAAAAGCTACTGCTGTTCACGAGACATTTTTTTTTCGTGTACCTGTAATAACAGAAGGTTCCCACACGGCCAAGGCTGTTGGTAGACGATGTGCCCTCACTCATCTCGGAGGTGTATGGCCTGAAGGTAGACGTTGTCAAGGAGATGGACAGTTACGATGATCGGATCTTTATAGTCCATGCACTTCCTGGGTCATCTTTGCCACCACAGCTGTCCTCAATTTGTTCCTCGGGCTACACATTCAAAGTCATTAATGCCATTGATTCCTTGGATGAAAACATTATAGGTAAGGATATTTTTTTTACCTGCATGGAAGTTGTGCAAGCAAGGACTGTGGCTAGCGCTTCTATCAATAAAACTCTCCTTGATGAACTCAAGTTATGCTCTCGAGGGGTAGATGTTTCTTATTTCACTTACGAGTTTTTATTATGGTTACCCAGGGCTATCCTGTTCATTCTGATTTACCAGAGCTATCATTTTCATTCAGGTTTCCCAGAATTTCACGCACTTGAAATATTATTATCTTATCGACGACATTCACATTAAGTACATGTACTCTGATGTGTTAAACTCATAACACTAGGGTTTATTAGTTTTTAAAAAATGACTTTGTTATAAGCCAATTACTAATACATACAGGTTAGGCATCTCTCTTATTTATGCGAATAGCTGATTCTTTGTGATCAGCATAATACATAGCTTACATTTGATTCTGCATAATACGGGGTGCCCACTGCGGCTGGATCGGGCCGATCGCCCGACTCGATCGTCTGAAACTGAAAACAAACACGTTTGTTTTTGAGGCGGTCGACTCGGGCGAGCGACCCGATCGGCCGATCCCAGCCGTAGTGAGCACCGCATAAGGCTGCCAGTTTAGCATCAGAAGGTGGGGGTAAGGGATACAATATTCTCGAAAAGTCGACATAATATATATTATAACCAAGAACCCAAAACCAAAGATAGGAGAAAAAGAAAATTCGAAATATTCTGCGCTTGCCAGAAGTTAGCCCTGTCTAATACGGGGTGCCCACTACGGCTGGGATCGGCCGATCGGGCCGATCGCCCGACTCGATCGCCACAAAAACAAAGGTGTTTGTTTTCAGTTTCAGGCGATCGAGTCGGGCGATGAGGCGATAGAGTCGGGCAATCTGCCCGATCCAGACGTTGTAGGCACCCTGTATTACGATTGATTAAGTTCCCGTTATTTGAGATCTAGGAAACCGTTTGCATTGTTTTATTCTTGAACTCGTACGGATTAATTTTATAGCTGTGTCTCCCCTTGTAGAACATGTGCTTTTCCTTTGGTTTAAAGTTAAAGCGATGGTGACACATTGAAAGAAGATTCAGCTAAAACGTCAACTTTCCCCCTGAGGTAGCACCTGTTTCTCGTTTTGTTTTGCGACTCCATCCAATATAATCTTATTGGAAATCCGATACTAGCAAATAGTTACTTTTATTATTATTATTATCATTATTATTATTATTACTACTACTACTACTACTACTACTACTACTACTACTACTACTACTACTACTACTACTACTACTACTACTACTACTACTACTACTACTACTACTATATTATTATTATTATTATTATTATTATTATTATTATTATTATTATTATTATTATTATTATTATTTGGAAGCCTTTTACGGCGCTTGCAACAGCATAAGGTCATATGAACGCGCGTGACACATTATAAACATTTTTTCAGTTGGTATGAAATTTTGAATTTTGCCCGGGTAGCGCCGAAGCCTACTCTTATCGATTTTGGACATCCAAGGGATCTTTAACGTACGCAGCTTACACACGGGATCTCCGAGAGTTTTTGCCCTATCCGAGGAAGATAAGTGTTAGACCTTACCTACCATAAGATCACGGGTGTGGCTGAAAGACATCACTAAGAAGGAGCCAAGAAGTAACAGAAGAAAGGCTGCAGAATGAGAAAGAGTCAGGGGCCCACAGGAGAGGGCAAACGAGGTGATGGATGGGGACAGAAAGTGGAGACGAAAGCAAATGACAGACCAAAGAGAGCAGGAAAGGATTTTGAAAGAGAACATTTTAGAGAAGAAAGTTTTCTGTCGCTATCAGGATTCGAACCCGGGACCTATTGAATGAGAGGTAAATATCTTAATCTCTAGACCACGAGTACCCCCCCCCCCCCAAGAATTATGAACTCTGGGACTCCCAAAATGGGATTGCAGTCCAAATCAGAAGTGCAAGCGTGTTAAAGTTAACATTGAAAGTGTGAACGGCAGATGATGAGTCTGAAATGCTGTCTTTGCGTTCCTTTCGCTGCTAGTCCGACTCTTGGAGACAGCCCTCCTAATATCTTTGCACATCTATATGGACTGAGAGTCTCCAAGCTCAAAAACATTTATTGGCAGCAGGGCTCTGCTGTCCTAACTGTAACATACATGTATCACAAGGTGTCAAAGAGATACATTTCGTCCACTACATGGTGTCAAAGAGATACATTTCGTCCACAAACTATTCAATTAATGTTGCTCCAAGCCCAGAAAGTCAGATTTTTTTTCGGAGAGAGAAAGACTTGTTTCATTATTTTTAACACCTGTACCTTCTTATATATAGGCTACGTGAACTATTTCTTGCGTTTTTCAACATTAAGAACTTGCATTTTCAAAGTGTATGTTTGGGTACCTACAGCCAATATCGCAGATTAAGAAACTTTAACTTTAATTTTTTTAAAGCAAATTTTTGGACATAGTACATTTAAACAACGTGTGTTGTTGAAAGGACGTAGATATCTACGTGACTGGAGTCAGTGGCAATAGCCTGTTCCCAGTGCTCTATTCTGAAGGCAGGCATTCACAATGCTTCTCATTTCTTGGGAGGGACAATGTTATAATATGCAAACAAAGTTATGATTTCATTCTCTTGGGCTTCTATCCGCCGAGCTTTCGTTGCCAGGAAGTGTGCGTACAAATGTTTTGGCTAGTCTTTAAGTCGTAAACATTTCTGGAGTCACCCTGGGTTCTGCTTTGTGTCTATGTTTTTTGTCCGACAAGAAACATAATATTAATAGGCTAGACAACTGGTATTCCGAGAGCGGAGTAACTAGTTTACAAAGGTACAGGTAGTGTTATAAATATAAGGAAGGGGGGGGGGGTGGAGTATGTTATCTGGACTCAACACACATTTGAGCTTACCTTAGCTAACAGGCGGTCAAATCTACCCCGGTGTGAACATACAGTCTAGCACGCACGAAATCGGCTGCTGGATTTTGATACCATTGCCAGTTCAAATACCGTAATAATATATAGATCGATAACAAAAGGAGAAGAAGCGCTAGTTGTTCAACTAAGGAAAGACGCAACTCTATAAAACGTGTACTCGGAAGAAAAATGCAAACTCACTGAACACACTCAAATTCTAGTATCTGATTAATGAAGTGTTCATTTCAAGGAAGTGGCCAAACAAACATTTTTTTAAAAGCCGAAGTTGTACACATAATGTGTGATAACGTTCTTTCTCTTTACTCTCATAATATAATACCAGAGCACTTTCTTTTTAAAAAATCAATTTTGTTTGTATCTATGTTTTTATCTTTAACTTCTCTTCACCTTTGTCGTAATCCAAGCATTAACACGAAATGCAAGAACATTACATTTATGTAAAAGCTCAACACCAACCGAAAGGTCAGAATGTTTTTCCTCAGACGCAAAGACTCGGATAACTCTCCACGCCAGGATGAAGGGTTTTCCAACTCCGTGCCCGGTCCTGAATCTCGACAGAGAGTACCAGAAGCTGGTCAGCCTTCCACAATCTACACGTGATGAGCACAGTAAAGGTAGACACATACAGTGGAGTCCGCTTTAAGTGAACACACTTTATTTGAACAATCGGTTAAAGTGAACGATATTCTGTGGTCCCGATTGAAACGCTATTTGTTTAAGTTTTAAAAAGTGGATAAAATGAACCGGTTTCATGGGGAAATCGGATAAAGTGAACGCCCAAAATGAGTGAAAGCGAAGAACGGACTGACCGTGTCACTGTCACCATGCTGTGAAAATATAATTCTTTGCCTCGGGCATTGGCAGATAATCCCAGCTTGGCGTTGGCGTTGGCGACGGTAATATCAGTCAGAAAGAAAGAGCTCTAGTAGACTAGGCTCACCAGCTGTGTGTGTTGTCCCCCCAACCCACCTCCACCCTCGACCCACCTCTGTGTGTAGCTAAAGTTACTAGGCCTCCACCTTACCAAACTAGTTAAACTGAACCTCGGATAAAGTGAACACTTTCTTCTAGTCCCAAAGAGTTCTCTTTAAGCGAACTCCACTGAATTACATGGATGTATTAAATTATAAACCCAGTTTGTTAAATCTCCCTTTAAAGAAAGGTTTCTGGGTGAGAGGATTACTATGTAGTAGGCTATTTATTGCTGCTACTTGTATTATGCTGCTTACTTTGGACAACAATGTGCAAGAAAAAGAAACTTATGAAACCCCATATGTTACTATTTCATTGTGTATGTAAGTGTGTATGTGTATGTGTGTGTGTGTGTGTGTGTGTGTGTGTGTGTGTGTGTAGGGGAAAGGGCTGTAAATCAAAATGTATCACTTACCTCACCCTCCCCCCTTTATCCAAAGGCCAGTTGGTAAAACAATGATCCGATGTGTGATAGGTGATTTATTTCAGATATATGCTTCTGACCCTAGGTTGTTTGGAGGCAGTCCACAAAATTGATTCAGAGGCGGATTTTGTCATTTTAAAAATACATACATCTTTTAAGTTTTAATAATGTAGTTAGGATCATAACCTTATGTGGAAAAGCGTTCGTGTCACATATGAATAAACAATTGTTTTATTGATCCAATCGGAATAAAGCTAAATTTGCTGCTTAATCTGTCATTTGTTTCAGAGAACGTGACAGAAAAGTGTGTAGTGCGGCTGTTTGAGTTTATAGCTGGCACCACCTTAGAAAAAGTCCCTCTCACACCAACGCTCTGTGAGGAGATTGGAGAATTTGCAGCCAGACTTGATATTGCTCTAGAGGTAAAACATTTTAACCCTCTCCGTACGCCCTGGGGTCATTTTGTACCCCCAGGATTGTATTCTCCACATTTTAGAATACTTCTAGTACGAAGATCTCTTTGAAACCTTCAGTATTTCTATTTTAAAAAATCATTTGGACAAACTGCTATGCAAGGCATAGTGATCAGATTAACGAGTAAATTTTCTCTTTGGAAAGTGGTGGCACAGAGTTTCCCATGCCGTATGGATACGATAGTAAAACACGGTCTTGACCCAATTGTAGTAGAGAGTCTGACATTACTGATAGAGAAAAAGAACCCAGAGGCTATAAGAGAAAACCCATAGTAATGTCAAGAAATAGCTTACGCATCGAATGCTATTATTCATTCATCTGTTGAAACACTTTATGACATTTTTTTCATCATTTCCAATAAGTTTGTGTATTATGGAATTGTAAGAGTATCATACAATGCCTGGTCTGCTTTTCTTGCTGGAGTCTACTTTGATGTTAAAGAGAAAGAACAAGACTGACTCGTTTATTTATCTTCGTGGTCAAATTTCGCTTACTACTGGTATGACACATTCAAAGAATATAGAATAATGCATGACGTACAATACCACACTAATACAGAAAGTAGTTTTTTTTCAAAACCTCATTGCCAATCGCTCGTTCATACTAGTATGCACCAACAAAGCAGTATTGAAGGAAGTGGATGTTTGGCAGGCGTTCTGGTGCTGTTTGCTCCTTTCCTGTCAAACATGTATCATCATTATCTCTCCTCGTTCTTTTCCTTTATATGTTACTCTCTCGTAATACCTTTTATCTTCGGTACTTACATTGTGACCTAACTGCAGTGCAAGTGCAGTGAAACTCTTACTAAAACTGAAGCTAAAACTAAAACAGATGGTAGAGATGATATAACTACACAGTAGCTTGTTGCTGTCTTAAATGCCCCTGATTTCAAGCCAGATGTAGACATAATTATAGTAACTTATTCACCCCACAGACGTTCTCACATTCAGATGAATCTGCTTTGTTGAAGATGGTGAATAAATGGAACATGTCTGAAATACCACGGCTGAGAGACGTGGTCCATGTAATAGCAGACGAGGAGCAGCGTTCAGTAGTTACAGAAGTCATCACTTCGTTTGAACAAAACGTTCTCACGCGTCAAGAAGAATATACGAAAGGTGTGTATGAGTAATGTTTGAGGGGTAACAGAATGCTGAGGTGAGTATGGTTTCTCAAACTCTGGGGAATACTAAGCTCTTTCTGGTCACACATTAAACATGAAGAATTTTCAGCGGATCGTCTAAAGCAGTGCTTGTCTACCTTTTTTCGACCAGTACCCACTTTTGACCCCTTTTAGGAGCAAAAACGTTTCGTCCGACCTGCTTAAACGTAAATTACCGAATGGGACATTACACAACACCTGTCACTACCCGTGTGGTCCCCTCAGTCCACCAAAATTACCAAATCGTCTGCCAACGGGCGAAACCACCCAGGTTGGCAAGCACTGGTATAAATCCAATTTGTTTTTAGAATGTTGCTCCTTTGGCGTCTGTGAGAACAGAAAAAGCCATAGTCATTGCGAGCAACGGTTATTTTGTAATATTATGTTAAGTCGATTTCATATTGTACCATGGACAAATCATCATTTAGCGTTGGAAAATTGTCAAAAAGCAAGCTCCCCCCCCCCCCAACCAAAAGAATATCTACAGAACGAAACAACAACAATAACAGACACATTTTAACCCCCCCCAAAAAAGAAGACAAAACCCACAACGAAATACCCCACCCCTGAAAAAGAAACGAAAAGCAAAAACAAAAACCAAGAGGAATCACACTGGTGTCCGTAAAATCAGGTCTTTTCTAAAATCGTGAGATCAGTTTCTATCAATAAATAGTTTTGGGCAGGTACAGGGAAATTAGAAGTGCCTTTGCATGGTAGTCTAATCTTATCGGAGAAAACGTCGGATACGTCTTCTACATTGAAATATACATTTTCCTGTCCCCACAATTTCTAGTTAAGGTCGGAAAAAAACAAAGCACAATAAGATTTATGAGCTTCGCGTTTCAACCACACAGATTGCTTGTGAGCGAAAAGAATACAGTCAAGGATGCCCAATCGGGGAAAGAAGGGCCTACAAAAAAAGTTGTAGCCTGGTACCAGTACCAGTACTCTCGAAGGCCCTGCTTATGCAGATAAGCAAAACAAGTAATCTGGCGGTATAAAATTTGTTTATTTTTTTAGATACTAACACAACTTGAAGAGATTCTCGTCGGTGTTACAAGTAATACACTTCCGTTCGTTTGGGTGACCTTATGCAGTTGCGAGCGCCGTAAAATATTTACCCAAAAAAGAGCTAAAAATGTTTTTTCTGTTTGTTCTATCAGGAATCATAAAAGCAACAAAATTGTAAGCCTTGACCATTATATTTAACTGAATTTTTGGTGATGTTGACAGGCGTATCTTTGGTCTAGCTTTGAAAAGGTGTTTAAATCGAAAATTCTCAAAATTTAGACTAAGTGGATTGCTTGCGACAGTGTGTGGTTGGGGGACATCAGTGTTCAATCCTACGGTTCCCCTTTTCTCCTGATGTTTTTTTTTCTTTCTATGCCTTACTTGTACTTTGTCATATCACGAAATGGCAGTTATTGCGTCGATATACTTCTCTTTACATGTACCTAAACTCAAAATCGAACTGACCCCCCT